CTGGAAATGAGCTGTTTACAGTGTCTGCTATAATGTTAATGTTGTTTTTGGTGTGTTTACACAGATGCATATGGCCACTGTGTAAATACACAGTTCAGTTATGATCTTATTGCCACATTATATCATTATGATAACATGATATATGCCTTCGGTGATTTTCTGAAGATAAATACCAAAAAAATAACACAACTGGAATAACTACAGCAGTCACAATCGTCGATCCCAAATGAAGCAAGAGATCGCGATGACATATGATGATGTGTGCAGGGGCTGTAGTGTTGTCCCAATTCTTAGGAGTACATTTTGAAGCCCTTCCCCTTCACATTGGTTTTTAAAGGCCAAGGAAAAGGGGAAGGGGTACTAAAATAGAATTGGGATTGGGCCTAAGCTAAAAAAAAAGAATGAATAACATTGTTGTGTAAGCATGACCATTAAAGATCATTCATGCACTGTTAAAGAATATCTGTATAATAACAGTTTTTTGTATTTTGTGATTCGTCTTTTTATTTTTCCTTGTTTATTTATGTGTTTGAGTTGCATTATGGGAGCTTGAGCTTACTTCCAACAACTTTTAACCTTGAAAAAGGTTGAAAAAGTGACTTTTAAGAGAATTGACCAAACCAAATTGGCACCAGATCAGCTCTTAGTCCGCAACATATCTCATTCATTCTTTTTTTTCAGGTTAGTCCCTTTAATAATCAGCTGTCGCCACAGCGGAATGAACCGCCAACATATCCAGCAAATGTTTTATGCAGTGGATGCCCTTCCAGCTGCAATCCATCACTGGGAAACATCCATACACTTTTATCCACACACATACACTACGGATAATTTAGCTTACCCAATTCACCTGTACCACATGTCTTTAAACTGTAGAGGAAACCGGAGCACCCGGAGAAAAGCCACGCCAACACGGGGAGAACATGCAAACTCCACATAGAAATGCCAACTGACCCAGCCGGTACTCGAACCAGTGACCTTCTTGCAGTGAGGGGATAGTGCTACCCACTGCGCCACTGTGACACCCTAACAATATATCTCTCCATAGCAATTCCTAATTTATCATTAGCCATAAACAAGGAATTGAGTTCTTGAGATCTACTTGAGCTGAAACTCTCCACTCGCCCTTCAATCAGGAGGGAGCCCCAGGCTTGATGATCTTCTGAGCATGCCAAACAAGCTTTATTATCAATCATCAGCTAAGTGTGAACTCTTGAAAACATAATTAGTCTAATCAAATTAAGTCCATTGCGCATTTCGATTAATTAAAAAAAAAACATCAAAAACATATTGAATTAGGAATTAAAAAAATATTTTATTAGTTACAATGGATATTTCAAGAATTTACATGCTTAAAACAAAAAATAAATATGGTTATTTTAAATTCTATTCATGTAAGGTACTTTGGGAAACCAAAAATGGCTCTTTTATGGCATCTCTGTAAAAACACCAACTTGGAAGCTTTATTTTGAAAAGTACAAGATAGCACACATAAGAGTTGCTAAATATTCTAGAATCCAAAATAATAGTGTAATCAAATCATATTTATGTTCACTGTTTAAACGAGGATTTAAAACAATTAATTTATTATAAGATGAAGACTATGATACAACAGTAGACTATAATTCAATATAACTGTATATTGAAATATTTTTATTCTCAGGGACACGTTCAGTTTTATTTGTCAATCACATTTCTTTAATGATTATGAGTGCCAGTAATCCTGAATGTGCGGTATTTATTTGTGTAGTCATAGTTGTCTATTATATATACAGAAACAGACAGAGAGAGAGAGTGAGAGAGAGACAGACAGAGAGAGAGAGCGCAGGAAGAAAGTGTGTTGGTGGTGTGGGCTGGAGCTCCGGAGAGATAAAGGAATTCCTGCCTACATCACACGCACAGACCCACGCGTCAAGTGCCCACTGCTGATCCTCCTCCATTCCTCGGAGAACACTCCACCATGAGTGATGCAGTCATAATGATGCTCCATTTTGGAAAAACAATCTTAAATAATCTTCATGTCTCTATTTATGAATTACTACAAATTTTTGTTTGAATGTACATTTATTTTTATGTTGTTTTTTGACATGGATTGCACATTTGAGTCATGATTTTGAAAGAGTGATAAAATTGTTTATTTCCATGTACTGTTCGCTAAAGTCATGCTCTTTTATAACATGAACAAAACACTTTTGAGAGGGTTTGTGAATAAGCATTTAATGCTGGCGAACCCATTCAGTTTAAGAGTCACTTACTGTGTCCTAAATTGAGAACGCTTGTACTTGAAGTGTATATTGTGTGAAAAACAGTAGGCTAGGGTAAATTATGAACGTCTGAATTCATATTTGAAACAGTAAGCAGCCCACATCCAGTTAAATTCTGAAGTGAAAATTACACTTTGCTAGGATTTATAAATAGCAACGAAGCAATCAACTGATGCTGGTACACTTGAAAAATTCCAATATATATCATAACCCAATGTTGGGTCCAAACATTGGGTTGAAAAGTGTCATTCAAATTTAGATAACACAACATTGGATTTGTCTATAATTGACCCAACACTGGGTTATGACAACCCAGCATTTGTTAAAGTACACCATGACAGAAACAATACAGCAAATGTTCATTAATTTATTTTCTTGTCGGCTTAGTCCCTTTATTAATCTGGGGTCGCCACAGCGGAATGAACCGCCAACTTATCCAAGAAGTTTTTTTACGCAGCGGATGCCCTTCCAGCCACAACCCATCTCTGGGAAACATTCACATACACTCATTCACACACACACTCATACAGTGCGGACAATTTAGCCTACCCAATTCACCTGTACCGCATGTTTTTGGACTGTGGTGGAAACCGGAGCACCCGGAGGAAACCCACGCGAACGAAGGGAGAACATGCTCCACACAGAAACACCAACTGAGCCGAGGTTCGAACCAGCGACCTTCTTGCTGTGAGGCTAATGTGCTACCCACTGCGCCACTGCGTCGCCTACAGCAAATGTTTTATGTCCAAATTTTTCATTTTCAGAACATACTTTAAGAGCGAAATTTCATACAGGGATATAATTACTTTCAATCAATTATAAAATTGTTCATAAGGTTTACAGAGATTTCATTTTAAGTTTCAAAATGATTTCAATAGTCAAAGGATAAAATTTGAAATGATTAACAGCCGTTGCACTTGTGTCTTTAGTGTCTTAATCCATTTACTTTTTCATTTCATTTTGTCTTCATTCAGTCTTTCAAATGGACTATATTAGTGGACTAATTCTGAAAGGGATACAGCTGTGGATATGGACATCAATATAGCATATTTTTTGTGACACTGTACAATATTAAATACTTTTTTACGGGTCTGTGAGGGGTACAGGTTTAGAGTAGACGTTAATAAAAACAATTTAATGGGAAATTGAATAATTAATATAAATTATTATCGTTAACTTCTCTATGGGCGATGCGGTGGCACAGTAAGTAGTGCTGCCACCTCACAGCGAGAAGGTTGCTGGTTCGAGCCTCGGCTGGGTCAGTTGGCGTTTCTGTGTGGAGTTTGCCTGTTCTTCCAGCGTTCACGTGGGTTTCCTCTGGGTGCTCCGGTGTCCCCCTCAATCCAAAGACATGCGGTACAGGAGTATTTGGTAGGCTAAATTGTCCGTAGTGTATGAATGTGAATGAGTGTGTATGGTTGTTTCCCAGAGATGGGTTGCAGCTGGAAGGGCATCCGCTGCGTGAAACATATGCTGGATAAGTTGGCGGTTCATTCTGCAGTGGCGACCCCAGATTAATAAAGGGACTAAGCTGAAAAGAAAATGAATGAATGAAGTTCTGTATCCTTTCTAGCAACAATCCACAAAAAAATAAAAGTAAACGAATGAGTATACGAGAGATAATTAATGACCACATCTTCACTTGTCTCCACCTACTGGCGAACGATGTAATGTAGAGAAATAATTTTTTTGTAAACATATAATTCAGTGTATTGACAACAATAATTACTATTTGTACGCTACTGTGAGAGGAAAAGGTTTAGGGTTTAGGTAGATATTAATAAAACATTTTAATTGGAAATTTAATCATTAATATAAATTATTATTGTTAATTTCTAAATCCTTTCTAGTAACAACCCTACAAATAGAGAATAGTAAACTAATGAGTGTACGAGTGACGATTAAATTGACCACATCTTCACTTGTCGCCACCTACTGGTGAACGATGTAATGTAGAGAAAATAATTTTTTGTAAACTTAAAATTCAGTTTATTGACAACAATAATTGCTATATTACGTTACTGTGAGGGGTACATTCGACATTAATAAAACAATTTAATGGGAAATTTAATAATTAATAAAAATAAATATCGTTAACTTCTGTATCCTTTTTAGCAACAACCCTACAAATAGATAAAATGGAACGAATGAGTGTATGAGAAACGATTAATTCGACCACATCTAGTTGCCACCTACTGGCGAAAGATGTAATGTTGAGAACGGATTCTTTAGTAAACAGTTAATTCAGTTCATTGAAATTAATCAATATTAATTAAAAGAGTGCTTCAGTTTCCCCCACAAGTCCAAAGACATGCGCTAGAGGTGAATTGGGTAGGCTAAATTGTCTGTACTGTATGTGTGTGAATGAGAGAGTAGGTGAATGAGAGAGTGTTGCAGCTGGAAGGGCATCTGCGTAGAACATATGCTGCATAGGTTGGCGGTTCATTCCACTGTGACGACCCCTGATTAATAAAAAGACTAAGCCGAAAAGAAAATGAATGAATGAATTACAAGAGTGGGTTTTATTGTACAAAGACGATTCAAGAATGCACTGAGCTTGATGATCTACTCACAGCTTAGCGTCTTGCCATTTATTACAACAGAGTGTTACCTATAATGCTATAGTAAATGGTCTTAGTCTGAAGCTCATTCACTAGCCCCGCGAAAGCTCCTGACAATCGGAGGACGCTCTTCTCTTTTCTTCCGTCGCGTCGCTCGTTCACAGCGGCGCGGGAGGTGAACGCGCAGAGGCGGAGTCCGCGGGAACATCAAGTGCAGCTCCAGTGACGAGGATGAGCGCGTACGGTGGATTCCCGCCACTCCGGCGGCTGCGCGTGGGCATCAGTGAGAGAGTTCCGTATAAAAGCTCCCGCATCCTCCTCTGCCTCTGACACTCTCTCTGTGTTTGAATGATACGGTGTCTTCTTCCTCTCCTCCTCCTCCTCTTGTGTTTTCTCGGAAACATTTTCCTGCAGTAGATATTGAAATTCTCGTCTATGGTTCTGACTCAAGCTTCCAAAATGTCCCGGACTGACGAGGTGCACCGTATAACGGAGAATGTTTATAAGGTAAGTTATTATTTAATAGACCTATTTTTGTCTTTGTAAGTATTTTGCATTAATCATTATGCAGATATTACATGTCAGGTTAAATTATTAGTGTTTTAAAATGTAACCGAAAAGGATTTAAAGTTGCTTACTGTGAATAACTTGTTTGATGGGACACTTCAACCCCCCCCAAAAGACATTTTGTCGTCATTTAGTCATTCTTACGATGGTCAAAAGTTGTAGTTTGTGTCTCTGTGTGTTTGTGCACATATAGAGAATATGAGGGGCTCGTATCCTCCATTTCTACTGAGACTGTTACTTTGAAGTCAATTTATACAGAATTTGTACAATGAACTGTCCCTTTAAATGATGCAGACTAGAGACACATGTAATGTAGAAATAGCTGGTTTCAGTGTGGAACCAGTTTAACCAAATAATTCAATCTGTCATCTCACCTGTACTCTCTGAAACTCATGTGAGTTTCAAGTGCCTGTCACTTATGTAATAAGCTTGAGTGTTCACTTCTGTACTTTTGTGAAATCTTAAATAGAAAATTTAACAACCCTCGCCTTGCTCCAAACCTGTTTCAGTTTCTTTATTTTTGTTGAACACAAAATATGCTGATGAATTTTATAAAACCCATTCATTGTAATGTAATCCATAGTAGTTAATAATACAATGAAAGGTGATGGCTATTTGGGTTTACAACATTCTTCCAAGTATCTCATTTTGTGTTCAACAGAAAAGAGAAATTTATAAAGGCTTGGAACCACTTGAGGCTGAGTAAATGATGTGATTGTTCTGGTCTTTGAATGTGTTAGCTTGTGTATGCTTGTATTTGTTTTGCTCTAAGTGAGTTCTCGGTTAGTAAAGTGGTATGAAACTGATTGTGTAAAACAGATGGAGCATATCTGCGTCCCATCAGGAAAGAGTGACTAATGCACTTGCATGGATCCCCATGGCAGTCGCATACGAACATCCTTTTACTTCTTTTCTCTGCCAGCTTTTCCCGCGTGGAGCTCACGTCTGTTGTAGCGTACAGTACCTCTTTGAAACCACCTGACTCACCAATCTAAACCTCGGTGGCTGACCCAGTGAAGCGTGTTAGTCAATCCTGCTGACATCTGTTAAGGGAGTTTAATGTTTAGGTTGTTAATTCCAACCCATGGAGCTAATATCCTTGGGAAGGGACGCTATTATTACATGGGCATTTTTGGGGAGGGGTCAGAGGAATACTGTGCTGTGAGGATCTTTTGACTGAATTGATGTAGCAAATGCATTTTTTAAATAATTAAACATTAGAGGAGATGCAGTACATTTAGTTTTATACATATAGGCTGTCAAAAATCATGTAGATTATTAAGTTATATATTTTAGCGTAACAACAATGTATTTTTAATAAAATGGATATCTTTTTAAGCTCTGTGATTTGACTAATTTAATTAAAATAAAATCGGAATGAATTCTACATTTAGACATATATATTAAAATAGGAAAAATATATACTAAATATTATATGCTAAATAGTTTCCCAGAGATAGGTTGCAGCTGGAAGGGCATTCGCTGCGTGAAACATGTTCTGGATAAGTTGGCGGTTCATTCCGCTGTGGCGATCCCGGATTAATAAAGGGACTAAGCTGAAACGAAAATGAATATATACTAAATAAAAAAAAACTTTCATAAAAAAAGGTAATAAAAAAGTTACAGATCAGTGATGCCCAAAGTAGAGCCTGCAGGCCAAAGTTGGCCCATCGTAACCTTTGATTTGGCCCACCATCTCATCTGAAAAGAGAGTATAAGGGTGAGGGTTGGGCTGAATGCCTTGAACACGGAAATCGCCATTTTCTAATTTGACGCAACCGTTGTTTGTTTTATTGATGAACTACAAAAAAGCAAACTGAAATTAAATGTTTCAATTAAATGTAAATCAATCTAATTTTAAAAAATGTAATTACTGTGACTCGACATATAAAGGATTATGGAGACGTTGGCAAGCAAATCAAGGCAAAAAGTAGTGTAATTCTGTTATAAATTAGATTGTTTTTACTGTAATAAGTTTATTGTACAATGTAAAAAAGAATTAGAGAACTAAAAAACATTATTAAATAAATTAAGAAACTACCCATGGCAAATTGCTCCACCTATATTTACCTTCAGCCCACTAGCCTCAATCAAGTTTGGTTTTTGGCTCATGTTCTAGATGAACTATGCATGTTATACTGTATATTAAATATTTTTAAATCCTCAATTACATATAATCTGAGTAGAGCTTGTATACAAATTTCGACAGTAGCCTGAGAAAGCAGTTTAAAAATAGTTTAAAATATAAATTAAATTAAATGGGTCATTGAGTGTGTATGGATGTTTCCCAGTACTGGGTTGCAGCTGGAAGGGCATCCACTGTTTAAAACATAGTATGCTGGATAAGTTGGCAGTTCATTCCGCTGTGGCGACCCCTAATGAATAAAGGGACTAAGCTGAAAGAAAATGAATGAATGAATGAAATGGGTTTAGATTAGTCACATATCATCATAATATATGTATATAATGCTATTATAGAATTTAAACACATTTTAAGTGCTCTTTTGGCCGATATTAAATGTAGATTAGTATTGTACGGTGCTAATTTTACTTGCAGACTTTGCGAAAATAAAATACATGTGTGATTTTAGGGAAACACAAAACAGCGATTGATACAGCACTCTCTGTATGTGAACAAACAGGAATCTTGTGCTTCCTTGGAAAGACTCGTCTGAAGCTGAAGTCAAAAAAAGGCAATGATAATATCTCAGTTCCTAATAAAGGAAGTTATATGTCTTCCACTGTAAATCTTTCTTAAACGTGGAGATACATTTTTCATACGCTTATAAAAGTTGTGTAACCGACCAAAAGAAAAGCTGTAGTTTAATAACTGGGCGTTTCTTGACCACATAATCCTCCTTCAGGATTATTTTGCATGCGTTAGTACAGTATTATGTTCTTGTCAATGGCAGAAGTTTCAGAATATTTACATAGAAACCATCTCCAGTGTTTGCACGGCCTTTGATGATTTTTTCCTGGATAGATTGTTTCAGGATTAACTAAAAACATAAAGCTTACACATTTCAATGTCTTTACATAGATAGGATGATTTTTAAATAGTCATAATTGGTGGAATAAACTACTTCAAAACCCATATTAAGACACTTTAGAAAGTAATCAGTTGAAGCCGGCTACAATATTAATGATTTGAAACCTCTGTTGGGGTTCATTACTATGATATCCTGTGGTGTATTATATTGAATGAGAAATGGAAACTCAAGTCACGACCAGTGTTACCTCTAGCTTTGAGCATTAAGGTCATTTTGTCCTTTCAGACTTTCAAGTGGGAGGATATTCATTCCTCACTGGGTCTCTTGGCTTCTTTAGGCTCTGTGATTTGTATAATTATGGGTATTGTGAGACCACAGTGGGGTTCTCTATTATAAGAAATAAAGAGACAGCGGATGCAATGAAGCGATAAACTGTACTCAGTACTCACTGATAGAAGAACGATGTAGTGGGCCATTTGACAGCGTCAGGCATCATCTTTCACATCAGTAATTCACAACTGGTGTGAAATGGATCAGAAATGGGGTGCAGGATAGTTCTGTTTCAGACAGCAGGGCAAAACAATTAATGACAAAAAATTCTGGACACTTCTCTTTTGTTGGACGGACTTTTACATTGTTTTAAAATATTGCTGTTGCTGCCTGAACTGATTTGAGTCTAGTGATGTGTCATGTTTTATTAGAAAGCACTGCAAGAAATCATTATTGATCCTTTAAAACCATTTCAGTAAAAACTGCTAGTTTAACATTGGTGCATCCGTAAGCAATGCCATATATAACATGTAAAATAGACAACTAAATGTTTAAACATACATAGATGAAACAGCATAACAAATACAGTTATTAATTATGTTGTATCTTTTTGTGCTGGAAAAACCAATAAAACTTTATAGTGAAGCGTCAAATTTTAAGGCAAGCCATTTCACTTGGCGGCCATCTTTGAAACGCGTTTCTAGCAGTAAGCTTGGGCATTCTATCTGAATGGGGAAACATCAAATTCTCCAAAACTGTTTGCCAAGCTTACGATTACATTACATATTTGGAATCACCAATTAAATTAATCAATAACTGTCTCATAAGTTTAATTTCTAAACTTTCGAATCAAACAAAAATCTTGTCAGGTTGCCTAAGCTAATGGGCATGCACACTTGAAAGGAACAAGATCACGACACCAACCTCATTTAAGGTTTTATTCTACGCATTATCATCCTCTGAACAATGCTTTGTCAGATTATGCTGTTTTTTTTTAATAATTCACAACTTGGTCTTGATGGTAAATCTCCTCCAGAAATGACAGAGAGGATTTGTTTACAAGTTAGTGGGCATTTGAATGGTTGCTGTCATGTGATGTGGGTTTGACAGGACGGACTGTACCTCATGTTCGTTTCATACAGATTGCAAAACCAAACAACTTTTGTTTTCAAGGGCACTTCAATTTAAAAGCACAGATTTCAAGCTTTATGTGGATATATTTCTTATGTCTGTGAAGCAAGTATTGTCAGATGCCAGTGGTAAAAGCATACGTCTGGTCCGAGCTTCTCCCCTGATGAAATGTCAGTCTATGGCAATCAATGATTGGCTCCTGTACTAAAAGGCGGGGCTTTATTTCCATATTGACCGTTACACTTTTCCTCATTCAAAACTATAGGGGTGACATGTCTTGTGTATTCTATATTCTTTGTTTTGATGTGTTGAATGTTTAATGATGACACTTCATAATCTATTCAGTTCATCTTGGTGCATCAAGTACATTTTGTCACCTGCATTAACTGGTTTACCTGAACGTTTCTTGAAATACCTGCTTGTGTTAACCACAATGTGTTTTATGTGAACTCAAATATTGGGTGAAATTATGGGTGTTTCCCCATTCAGCTTATTTATTGTTTACATTTGCTTATCACATTCATTGTGTTGGACATATGCAATTTATTT